TTTCTGTATAATCTGTCTGCAAGTCCCAGTGGAGTATAAGAGTGAATGCTAGACGCCTGCTCTTCTCTCTGTGTGTGTTCAGATGCTGTCTTATCTCTCATGGGCTCTTCTCTTCATTGTCTGTGCACTGACAGTATAATTCAAGCTCACTCTGGAAACAAAAGCATGTAATGAATGCACACCATCCAGTCAGCTTGTGAAATGAATTAATTTCTCCTGAGCACAATGGACCAGGTTGAGCTCGATGCACCTTTTATAAAGTCATGCATTTTTCCTCTGTCACTGTGTGAAAGAAATGTACAGTGTACCGAAGGCTTGTGAAAATGAACCAGCTGTTTGTAACGCAATTTTAGACCTTCAAACAAACTGCTACATGTTATAAATCTTCACAGTGACTTTGGGGCCAGAGAATTGGAGCTGTTTAGCTTTTCAGACTCACAGCTTGCGGATCCTTGAACTTACATGTAGACTCAGTGTGGCCGAGAAATTTGGTTTTAAGCCACCTGTAGCACAGGTACAGTACTTCTTCTGACTTGGCATACTGAAGCTTCATGGTCAACATCAATACAAGCAAGAATTTTGTTTTAAGGTGAAAGATGTTTGCATGCAGATTTTGCAATGGGTTCAAGTTGGTAACTAAAATTCACCTTGTTGAGTGCAGAACAGAAAGCTGCTTAGTTTAAAAGTGACTTTTGTCTGAACTGTGCTTCACACGTCACTATTGACAAAGGACAATCAAACGTTTTTCCAAAATAAATGTCACCAAAATTTTGCTAATTTGATCACACCTTTAGAGTGTTTTCAGACCTGTAGATCATTTAAAAAAATGTTGCATTTTCTACTTGTTTGGTTCAGTTCACTTTTACAAGGCAACAATTTAAAGTATACCAAAATGTGTTTATGCAAGTCAATAATGTGCTCACATTGCTGCTTTTTATGTAACACATTTCTTATTTTGAATTATGATACAACTTGGATCGTTGGTCCACTGGGTTGGATTACTTTCTCATCACAGTTGAATTGTAAGAGTTTGTTTTCAGTCAGTTTCAGTTATTTAGGAGATCTTGGACTGATTATTTTGGTGCAAATTCAGGTGCAATTGCTGTGTTCATGTATGCTGAAACAAACCGAGCATGCCAGGTTCAGAAACAAATGCTCCAAACGAGCCAGGTGTGAAAACTGACACGAATAATATCAACATTCATGCAACTCATTGAGGAAAGATGTGTTTATTTTCGTGAGTTATTTCCTTTTTTCTTTAGTTATTTCTTTTGTTTTTATATTTTTTTAAATGATTAGTGTTTTGTTCATTCTTGTTTGTTCATTTACCTCTGTTTTGTTTTGTTTTGATTTGCTTTTCTTTATTTTGCTTTGTTTTGTTTTGTTTTTCTTTTCTTTATTTTGCTTTCTTTGCTTTGTTTTGTTTCGGCTTTGTTTTATTTTATTTTTTATTTTTTGTTTTGCTTTGCTTTGCTTTATTTTGCTTTCTTTGCTTAGTTTTTTTTCTCACTTTCTTTGCTTTGTTTTGTTTTGCTTTCTTTGTTTTGTTGAAGTCCCTGGTAAATGTTTGGCCCCATTTACCAGTAACAGCAGATTATCAGTGAATCCCAGTTGTCTCCGATGAAAGTTTATAAATTCATCCGGTGTAAAAATGATCACTGCAGAGGCGGGGTTTGGTGATGATCCTCAGCTCTCCATCAAGGGGGCTCTTTACAAAATGAATCCAACTCTTTTTGATATAATCATTATTAGGAAATTTAAATAAGGGCACCGAGCTGTTTTGTATGTTATTGCAACCAGGAGATACGCATTTCAGTGACAAAGGCATAGCTAGCTAGCTGTGTGTGTGTAGGCTGTGTGTTACTAACGGTACTGACAACTCGCGATTGAGCGGGTGAACTGATGCGAATGTGCTCTAGTTATAGTGTTAGGGGAGGGGCCATGGCTCGGGGGCTCCATTGCGTCATCGAACCCCCTTTTTAGCCCCACCCAAAAAAATCCTGAACACAGAATTGGTGAAAAACTGTTTAACGGTCTAACTCCACTATTCAGTACTACATAGTTCACAGTCTTTGTAATGTGTTTCAGCAATACATTTGTAACATTTGTAATGCATTCAGAAACAATTCTCAGAATTTACTTTACAGGGACTTTAAAGCAATAAGCCCCAAGAAGCCATGGTTTACAGTGAATTTATAACAGCTAAGGGGCGTTGTTAGGACACGATGTGAAGCGGAGTTTCACAAAATAAAACAGAGCAAATAAAGTGCAATGATATTAATAAAACCATTATTTTTCCGCCAAACAATGTAGTTCCTCAGAAATGGTTGTGGTTCCAACAAAGTGGTTGCCGAGCAACACACAAATGTAAACAAAGGTGCATGTTTGTTGAGTAATTTACAACAGCTTCGAACTTGGTTCAACCAATCAGAATCAAGGACCGGAACTATCCGGTTTATAAATGATTTTTTATCAATTCCAAACCTTATTAAACTTCCACTCTTGCTTTGTCATGCCATTTTTTCGGACAGACAAACATAACTCACATTTCTTAAGAAAACGTTAAACGTTTTGTAAAATTGTCTGAATCGTCAGTTATTATTTTGGTTGTGTTTGCTGTTTGGTTATGACAAGGCTGATAGATAACTGAATTTGATCATTTGTGGACGTTGTCTATCAGTTTCACTTTTGATTGATTGATTGATTGATGGATATAATCTGGAACCTTTTCTCTTCCATTTGATTTATCACTGCACATTGCACATTATAAAACTGCACAGTGTTGTAATTTCCCCAAGCATTAGTACAGTCTCTGATTATTATATATCTGAGCTCCTCTAAATAACCCGCCCAGCAAAATAAGGCTGTAAATGATGAGGCTCCATGTCTTTACCGACAGCTCTGGAAACTCCTTCAAGTGCTTGACATGTTATTTCTCGGTTGCCACGGAACAACCGACAAAACTGTTATCTGTCAAAGGCGAGAATTGGAGTAAAACTCAGAAAGATGTCTTTTTCATGTTTCTATCCATAATGCATATGAGTTCCGGCCGCCGGGCCTCTCTAGGGGAACGAGAGCGAGCCGATGAGAGGCTCTTCACTGTGTCAGTCTGAAAGACTGCGGTCCTTTTGCATACTTGACGGTGTGACAGGAACTAAATGACTGGGTGAAAATCACACGCGTGAACGCTGCGTTAGCGTCCGCGGATGACGCCGCCGCATGTGTTCTTTTCCGCCGCCTTCACCTGAATGTTGGTTCTCAACCTGAGAGCTGCTATTGTCTGCTGAGAGACACCTGTGTTGCCATAGCAACCACTAAGGCACGGGTTGATGGTGTGTGTGTGTGTGTGTGTGTGTGTGTGTGTGTGTGTGTGTGTGAGTGTGTGAGGTGTATTATGAAAGGAAGGAGAGATAGGGGCCTCACCTGAATGCTTGGCTGAATCTCTATAACTCGTCTCCAGCCTCTTTGCTCTCGGCAGCTGGACTAAAGCCAAACACCTGGCATTCTTCAGCTCTGTGTGTGTGTGTGCTGAACCTTTCTTAAAACACTTTACCTTTGCTTTGTATAAAAGTGTTATACAGAGTGGATTTTTCTCCATTGAAACACCTTTTAATGACTTACCTGCTGGAAAAAAAGCTGATTTTGTTACACAGTAGCTGGATTTTTGCTGGTCAGCTGTGACCAAGATAATCCACTAGGCTGAAACTTGGTTTACTTGACCAGCTAGAAACGACGTCAGGGTCTAGATATGATGTATAGTGATATGGAAATGTATTTCTGTAGGGTGCTATATATGATGGGTTTGACTCTGCGCTGTGATTTAATTGTCACTGTGTACAACAGGACAGCACCCACTCAACGGGTGCTAACACAGATCTCCATAGTAACCATTGTAAACATCCTGTTTAATGAGTCATGTGATCCCGCTGTGTTAATCTCTCCCCACCTCTCAAAGCTCTAGAATTCAACCATGTTTATTGTGTTCATATTATTATATTCATTTTGTTAATCTTGAATGCCATTTTATTAACGAGTCAGCTTTGAGTTAATGATGTTTTTAATGAATATTTGTAGTCCCCTGGCAGTAAATATGCTGAAATGATGGATTAAAATGTATCATATTTAGCTACTGTGAGCATCCTTCCTTTATAAAGTGACAAAACTATTTATTTTTTTTTTTTTATTTGATGCCTTTTGTTACATTTTTAGCTTTATGCACTTTTGTTTTTTATTAAAGCTGAGGCATGTCATTTTATACACCACTTGTGTCACAAAATGGATCTGCAAAATGATTGTTTTCAAACAGGTATCCTCCAAACACTGTCCAATAGATGCTTGTTTCCACCACAGGCGAAAAAATAATGAATGAATGAACCAATTCGGAATGAAGGAATTAATCCATTCTGGCTTTTTTTTCTTGCAATTCTGAGTTTATATCTCACAATTCAGTCTTTTTCTGGCAATTTTGAGAGAAAAAAAGTCATTGTGAGCTATAAAGTCAGAATTAAACTGACTTTTTAAAGTCAGAATTAAAATTAAATGAAGCCAGATAGAAACTCTTCTATCAATTGCGAGAAGAAAAGTAGGGGTTGTGAGCTACAAACTGGCAATTGAGGGGAAAAAAAAATATTCCATGACAGAAACAAAACACAAGTTTGTTTCACAATTCAGATTTTTTTTCTCAGAATTGCAAGAATAAAGTTTGAATTGTGAGAGAAACCATGATGGAAACAAGCTTCCATACTTTCCCAGCCTGTCATTGGTCAAACAGACAGAAAGCCCCACCCCAAACTCATGCCATTGGTTAAATTGTTACTATGCTGGGCTGATTAAGATGCTTTGGACACAGTCAGTGTTTATATACTTTGGTGGAATGAGTGGCTTATTTTTAGATGCATATTGAATTGTGAAAAAAAATATTTTAATATTGAAAAAAATAATAAATACACTTTCTATGTTTAACTCATCAATATCATTTGACCTATTCTTTATCTCTTTAGAAAGAACAAGATGACTTAATTTTGACCTCGGATGGAACGCGGGAGTTTATGACGTTTGAAATCCCTCTCAGTGACTCGGGATCGGCTGGGTTAGGGGTCAGCGTCAAGGGCAATAGATCTAAAGAGAGCCACGCTGACCTGGGCATTTTCGTCAAGTCTATAATCACTGGAGGAGCCGCCTGCAAGGTGAGGAGCAGCTCTCTGATTGGCTACGGGACTAATCTCTCATACTTATTTTTAAATGTTCATATATTCCAAAGTACCAAACCATATATATACCACACTTTTAATATGTTCTTGTGTGTGCGATCACAGGATGGGCGGCTGAGGATAAATGACCAGCTGATAGCGGTTAATGGAGAGTCTCTACTGGAGAAAACCAATCAGGAAGCAATGGAGGCCCTCCGCAAATCCATGTCCATCGAGGGCAACAAGAGAGGCATGATTCAGCTGATCGTGGCCCGGCGGGTCGCAGGGAGGGGAGAGGTCAGTCATCCACTGTCTGCAACACACAGTAACCACAGATCTGTGTTTACGTTCTATTATTTGGCTCTGAACTGTGATTTGTATTCCCAGCATGCCCTTGCGAAAAAGAAGTGCGCTTAATTGTATTGAATGTGCTCTTGTAGTGTTCTTAAAATTTTAAAAGAAAATTTCTAATAACTTATTACAGATAATATAATATTAATGAAACAAAAGGCCACTCGAGTGTACTTAAAGAGCAGGTCATATGGTAGTTTAAAGTATCCTAATATTGTGTTGGAGTCCCCTACAACAGGTTTAAATGCATCTAAGGTCAGAAAACATTGTATTTTCTCAGAATATACATTTAATATTAGAGTCAGAGTCAGTAAAGAATTTCTTTTTCACAAGGGTGTACTAGTTTTGTGTGTCTGTCTGCTGAAGGAAATCTCTGCAATCACATGCTACAGTGAGAAATGCTTTTTCCTATCAAATTTGCAGAATAATTTCCTCAAATTAGCCCAAATTAAGCATTAACCTCACTAATCGTTATCAGACTTATTCAGAATGACAAATCGTGAAACTTGATCATTGTTATTCTACAATCATTCAAACATCAGGAATGTAGGAAGACAAGAATCTTGAGTTTAGGCCCAATTATTCCAAAGTTTTGTCTCCAAACTGCTTGTGTTTTAAGGGTATTGTAGCAATGATACCGATAAGTTTTAATTTCAATACAATTCAGTCTTCCTGATTTTGCATCCTCTCGAATGAACGTATTCGTTGCATGTGAATGGCTTGGTGTATTAAAAAATGTTGTATTAATATTTACCCAGCATGGCCTGAAGATAATCTGACCCAAATTTGGGGATGAAAGCCGAAGGATGCTGGGAAATGTAACGTGGCATAAATTGAAAGATTGAACTCTGCATGACCTAAAGAACCAGAACCGTTGGTTTTACGGATGTGAGAGTGTTGATGGCGATTTGAGAGAGTTGCACTAAAATGGCATCTAGATACAGTACCAACTTTTCCCATTCGGTTCTAGAGACTGCCATAGACTTTAATGCAATAAACTAACAGACAATAGTTCAGTGCAGGTCCTTAAATTCTGATGAAAATTACTTTCATCCTGCATAAAGATGAACTGAGTGACTGACAGACCGACCGACCGGGTTCAGTAGTGTCTGTGGACGGGGAAGTTTGACTGCAGAAAAAGTGAATTAAAGTGAGTAGTTCTTATCAGACAGATACAGGAGACGGAGAGAGAGAGAGAAAGTGACACGGGGGTGTGAGCGGCGGATTGCGATCGAAAGCAATTTGACCGCTGAAATGCTCATGCTGATTTATACTGATAACAGATGGCAGTATGAAATATCAAATATCAACTTCAAATGCCATCTTTTCCATCCCCCCTCTTTCCCCAATGCAATCCTTTGGATGTGTGTTTGTGTTTCACTCTTTTATTTTTTTTGCCTGATGTTAGTCATAACATCTGAAAGTGTAATCTAACACTTATCTTTCTAAAGAATATAAAACAGATGCTGCTTTAGGAGGAGATGAAATTCAGAATGATGACTGCTTATGGATATGAGACGACTGGCGATCTTTGGCCGCGCTCTCACGCTTCGAGTGGAGAGCATGTTTCCCAGAGGAGAGTGTCGATGCTCAGAGCTTGCTCTTTCAGAGCTCAAGGGACTTAATAGAGTCTCCTTTATGGCTCTTTTAGATATCAGCTGTGTCTCGGATGTTTGTTTCTTAAAATTTATTGGGAGAAATAAAAATAGAGAGTAACAAGGCAATGGCTTTCAGTAAGAGTACAGCGCGCTATAAAATTAAAGTGGATCCTATAGCTCAGATCATTTGCTCTATTTGATGAGAAATGTTTGAATTTATGATGAAGCAGCACAATTTTAGACATTTGATGAGATTTGTGCTGAAACACATTTTTTTTAAGCAGAAAAATCCAGAAACTCACTAATTGCTTTATCCATTAGATTTTTTCAACCACATCTTCAGCTCACCAAATCGGCATTTATGTAATCAAAAATACAGTAAAAACTGTAATATTGTGAAATATTATTAAAATTTAAATGAACTGTTTACTATTTGAATTCATTGTAAAATGTAATTTATTTCTATGATCAAAGCGGAATTAGGAATTAGGAATTAATATATCCTTGCCGAATAAAATTAAGAATTTCTGTTAAATAAAATAAAATAAGCTAAACATAAATAAATAAATAAACAAACAAACAAAGTTACTGACCTCAGACTTCTGAATGGTAGTGTATACTTATGTATATGGAAGTAGCAATAATAATTAAAATGTTTTATTCATGTCAAACATTGTGTAGGTTAAAAACAAAAACACAAAAAAACATTGATTGTATATTATTTTCAGCTTACCGCCACTCACTTCAGGAGAATTGGGTGAATTCACTGTTAAATCCGACTAGTAAATTGTAACTAGTAAAAAGTGTCTTGTGTAAAAGCTTGATGCGATATAGGAATGTGAAACATTCTAAAATAAGTCACATAAAAAAATTACACAGGGTTAGAAAACACGTCTTGTGCTTTTAAAACATGAAAAGTCATCTTACACATTGCTATTCATCAAAGGCTTCACTCATATGTAGGCAGCCTTGTTTGTTGGTGAATCTGACTGCACCGCTCGTGCTGTATTTGTATTTGTGTGCATCCAGTGAAGACAACACAACAGAGAGAAGAAATACGTCTCTGTAGTACCTTTTGTAAACAGTCTGTCTCTTCTTGCAAACTCACAACCTGACTAAAATAGTCTTTTGTAATCATTCACGGATGACACACACCAAGAGCCCACTGCTGCGCTCAGATCAGCCTTTATTAGCGGCTGTGTGGAGCTGATTGGACCCGTTTGAAAGCAGCAGACCTCACGCTGACTTCTGTCCCCTCACACACATCCCATCCATCCTCTCTTGCTCGTCCCAACCAAGGTCACCCGTTGCCTTCAGGAGCGCCCGGGCTCAAGGTCACTCTTATCTGTCTGTCAAACGAGGATGAGGACGGTTTCTTTCACTTTGAAGTGCAGCTGAGCTCCCGCTGTATACCAAGATACACCAATAGTTGCGCATTGATATGGCATTCAGAGAGAGGGAAAGCTGAAATAAGAAACAAGAGAGATGGCAAGAGTAGTGAAAGTGGAAAGAAGAGGAAAATGATGGGTAGTGAGAGATTGCAGGGGCCACTGAAGGAATCAGAGATTCTCTCTGACAGCCGGCGCTTTGCTACTGTCATACAGCAAATGCTGGAAAACAGAGGCCAGCAGTAAAATGAATAAGATCCATCACTGTCCGCTGCCCTGTGTGTGTGTGTGTGTGTGTGTGTGTGTGTGTGTGTACTCGATTATGTTTGGGAGAAGCACATTCTGTCTCTAGTCCTGTCCTGAATGTGAATCGATGTCCTACACTGTCAATCAAAAGCTCTGTCGTTCCAAAATACAGCAACTTAATTCGCTCATTAGTAATAGCAGGTGTTCATATGCAAAGTGTGGTTCTACTGCAAATACATTTTTATACATCTGAAATGTACACACATTGGGCCTCATTCATGAAACATTCGTAAATATAGGAGTAAATTCTGAGTAATTTGCGCGTAAAACGGACCTTCCTGAAAACTCTCCTCCGGATTCACAAACACTTCGTAAACTTCCGATTTGATAGTTTAACATGCGTATGTTAATGAATTCCAATCATTCGTAAATAGGGCGCTCGCACACGCTCATTCACAATTAGCATAATCCGCGCCTATGAATTACAGCTATGCAATTCGCGTGTCCAGGAACGCAGTGGAATATTCTGGACTATATTGCATAAATGCAAAAAAAAAGAGTAATAGATCATATGGCTAACAATAAATATTCAATAATGTCAGGTGCTCTTCTGAAAACGGCCAGCTGGTGGCGCTTGATAACACTTTGGTGGCACAGCGTTAGTTTATTTGTTTGCTGAGATGCTTTGGTTGCTATGATTAGGAATATCCACGGCAGTAACGTATTAATAATATCTCATTTTGAAGAATATTACTGAATATAAAAATGCAGTAACCAGCAATATTAACTTCTCTATTGTTGTTCAGTTGTTGTACAAGTAGGATGACTGCTGGGTGTAGTGTTTGTCCCGCCCCTCCTCCACTGATTGGACGGCTGGGTAAAAAGTGACAGCGACAAGCGCTGCGGTTTACCCAAAGCTAAACAGTTTATCAACCCTCAGCTACCAAAAAAAAAAAACGGAGCAAACAAACTTATTATACGAAAATAATATAATGGCAGTGCATCAAAATTCAGTGCCATCAGTTTGCCAAAAAGAACACAGAACGTTTTACGCACCATTTACACGTGGTAGGGAGCAGGTGTACATTTCTTTCGTACCAACTAACATTTTTAAAATACAAACATTTTCATGAATTCAAAAGTTTACGTCAGAACGGCTTTATGAACGATTTACACAAAAATTCGTTCTGCTCGTGTTTCATGAATGAGGCTCACTGGGTATGAACATATTAGAAGCGCATGTTTTATGAATCATTTTATGTTCGTACAATATTGAATTTTACTGGATTAATAGGTTGAATTTATTGTATTTAATAAGAAGTTAATGATTAAAAATGCTCAATGTCATTACATTTAACTTTTTTTATTCTGTTTTGTGAAGTTTCTGGTACTATATTCAACTCGTTTTGAGTTCATTCGTTCGTTCATCCATTCTACCAATGTCTAAACTTTCAAATTTTAGAATCATGTAATTATTGCTTAATCATATTTATATAGACACACGCTTTAAAACTTAAAAAAAAAAAAATCTTACAAATATACACACTTTTATATATTTTCAAGTTGTGCTTTTATTGTTAACTAAAACAAAAACTTAAAAAGCATAGTGTTAAATAAAATAAAGCAGAAATTAAATAGTATAGATAAAACCTTAGAAAATTAGAGACGAAACGGGTGATAAAACAGGTTTACATTGAAGTACTAAAGTAACTAA